AGTACCTGCACACTAGACTCATCCGCATCGGATTCCGTCAACTACCACACGACCAGGGCATGTACCGACTCACTAAGGGCACCGACTACCTCATACTGATCGTCTATGTAGATGATCTACTCTACATTGGTTCGACCGACAGCGTTACTACCTGGTTCGAAGGGGAGCTGCAGCAGGATCTTACTCTCACAGTATCATCGACCGTCACGCAATACCTCGGCCTCAACATTCAGGAAGAAGAAAGCGCAATCTACCTCGGCGCTCCGAAATACGCCGTCACCATCGCCAAACGTTTCGGACTCACCCCAACCGCCATCTCAACGCCATACCGCTACACTACCGGAAATCATAAGGAAAGCTCCACTCCACTAAAGCCCGCCGGCATACGCGACTACCAACGAAAGCTGGGATGCCTTCTCTTCGCGGCCGTCACCTGCCGACCGGACCTATCGTACTCGACGAGTCAGCTCGCCTCCTACCTCAAGAAACCTGAAGCGGAGCACATGGCGGAGCTAGACCCCGCACTTCACTACCTCGTCAGCACCCCGACGATCGGCTTAACTTATCACAAGAATGGAACCACTACACCTAAACTGATCGGCTACGTCGACGCCGACCACGCCGGCGATTCTGACAACAGGCGCTCGCGCACCGGCTTCGTCTACCGATTTGAACCTATCGGGCCCATCTCGTGGCAATCGAGCAAACAAGAGTTAATTGCTCTCTCCGCAGCTGAAGCAGAATATATTGCACTCTGCTCAGCCACCAAGGAAGGACTGTATCTTCGCGAACTACTGGAAGAAGCGAAGCTGGCTCAGTTACCCAACTGTCAGAATGTTATCTTATGCTCTAGCCTGTAGTGGGGTGCTCTATAGCGAGTACAACCCTTCTAGGGTTTCCTATTTGTATCCCCATTCTTGCTAGTGCAATCCTCTTCTTCTCTCTTCTTTCTTCTAAACTTTAACATGCTATCAGAGCAGGTCGATCCCCTTGGATCGATCCTGTGGGTGGGCTCACCACCTTGTTGCTTCCGCTGCAACTGCTACTGCTACTCTCTGTGCCGCACGCTTCGTGGCGTGCGGCAGTTTTTCTTCCCGCCGTGCGCCCCGAGGCGCGCGGCGGTTTTCTGCCCGCCGTGCGCCCCGAGGCGCGCGGCGGTTTTCTGCCCGCCGTGCGCCCCGAGGCGCGCGGCGGTTTCCTGCCCGCCGCGCGCCCCGAGGCGCGCGGCGGGTCGCGCGACCCCTACAGCCCCGTCGCGCCGCCCAGGGGAGCCGCGCGCGACCCCTGCAGCCCCGTCGCGCCGCCCAGGGGAGCCGCGCGCGGCCCCTGCAGCCCCGTCGCGCCGCCCAGGGGAGCCGCGCGCGGCCCCTGCAGCCCCGTCGCGCCGCCCAGGGGAGCCGCGCGCGGCCCCTGCTGCCCCGTCGCGCGGCCCTGCTGCCCCGTCGCGCTGCCCAGGGGAGCCGTGCGCGGCCCCTGCTGCCCCGCCCCGTCCCCGACCTGCCCCGGCCCCGACCTGCCCCGGCCCAACTCCCGTCGCCCGTCGCGGCGCCCTGGGGGGGGCCGCTACCGGGGGCCGCGCGTTGCCCCCCCCCCCCCCCCCCCCCCCCCCCCCCTACCTCCCTACCCTGTTTTTAGGGTTTGGGGGGTAGTGGTTGGGGGGTGGCGGTTGGGGGGTGGCGGTTGGGGGGTGGCAGGTGTGTGGCGTCGCCTGCTCCTCCTCCTCCTCCGTCTCCCTGTGCTGCAGCTGCCGCTGAGGGGGGGTGGACGTGTTGGAGCCGGTGGAGTGGTACTAAGGGGGGGTGAAGGGGGAGTGGAGCTAGCGGTGTAGCAGCGGGTGTGTGCCAGGGGGGAGTGGGATAGTTTGGGGAAGCTGAATGGAGGTTGCCGTCGTGTCGCCAGCAGCACCTGTATTCCGGGGACTTCGTCCGGTAGCCCAGTCGTAGCCAGCTGTGCCAGCCGCCCGTGGGTCCGTTGCTCGTCTGCCGCTACTTTAGCCGCGGGGCCTGTTACTCCTGTATTCCGGGGACTTCGTCCGGTAGCCGCTGTGCCAGTCTGCCTCCTGTTGCCCGTGTGTCTGCAGCTTCAGCCGTCGCCCCCTATCTCCTCTCCTCTCACTCTCTCTCCTCCTCCTCACTTGCCCGTTGTGACTACCACTAGCTTTGCTCATAATTGTGAACTTAAACTATTGCTTCTTGAACTTGTGCTCAGAATGTGTGGTGACATTGTGATCCACCCTGAGCTTGTACTCCTTTGCTTGCTCTGCTGATTACACCCCACTTTGGCTATGGGGGTGTGTCAGAATGTTATCTTATGCTCTAGCCTGTAGTGGGGTGCTCTATAGCGAGTACAACCCTTCTAGGGTTTCCTATTTGTATCCCCATTCTTGCTAGTGCAATCCTCTTCTTCTCTCTTCTTTCTTCTAAACTTTAACACCAACTTCTCTCTGTTTTGCGATAATCAGCCAGCAAACCGCATCGCGAACAACAACGGATTCGCGAACAGGACGAAACACATCGCCTTGCGATATTTCTTCGTGAAGGACAAGATCGAGAAGGGGAGACTCGAGCTGTCATATTGCCCCACGTCCGAGATGGCAGCTGACTACTTGACCAAGAAACTCGAAAAACAGAAGTTCGAGTACTGCATGCTGCTGACTGGACAAAGCCACGTCACCAGCAGTGACACTTCAGGATCGAAGGGGAGTGTTGGAAACAAGTATTTTAAGCGCTTCTGTTGTGTGTCGAAACACTAAGTCGTAAACAAGGCAAAGCACAGCGAAGCATCGGCGAGTCAACACTTGGAGGTTGAGAAGAAAAGCAACCGCTGGAGGTTACGCGAAAGTCAAAGGTCAGCGACCTTTGACCTGACGAATACAGCGCGACAGCAAGGACAAGCAACTGATTTGTTACTGAGCAGTTGCCCGAGTCGGCACTGTATCAAACCGCAACAGCAACAGTAAAACAGTTATTAGTTATATCTCTTCGTATTCCTTGTACTCTTATAAAAAACCTTCTATTTCCTTGTTTTAATCAATCTAATTTGCCCTCACATACCAGCGCAAGGTGGTTCAAGGACTTATCATTAAACGCTTCCGCTATTACATTGTTCCTACCCAGAGTTTAACCCTGCAAAGATCCTTAGGGCTTTTCTCAGCCCAACATACCAACCCTTGACCTTTCAACTCATCGAGGCTTGTAAGGGGTGGAGTGGAGCGGAGAGACATGGTTTGCAAGATATCAAGGCAACAGAACAACTAGATAGTTCGCTTGGTACGTGGGCTTATCATCTGAGATCAAGTTTGATATCGTTTATGCTTTGCTACATAAAGTGTACCCCCCAAGTAAAATTACAGCTATTACATCCTGTCCCCACCCCACCCCTACAGTCGTTCGGTCCAGTGGAACACAAGTGCTTTGCGTCATCAAAGCTATCTGCTTGCGTGTCCGCTTACTCAGAATTCGTTCCTCCAAGGTATCAAACTGCACTTTCTTGCTGACGTGTTTTTTGAACCCAGATGCGCCATGGCTGGGGATTGGAGGTCATGGGGAACGAGACCTGTCCCTCATTTCCCCCCCAGCCTCCCCAGGCTCGGGAAAACTGGTTCCGCACCTGGGCGGCAATCCCGAGGTGCAGACTGTACCCAAGGGATGATTGTCGTACAGTACATTATTGGCGAAACCTTCTGGTACTGTACGGATATCTGTTTTGAGCCTCAGGATTGGCTGTCAGGATGTTCGCCAAGCATCGCTGTGCAAGGCAGAGGGGCGGAGGTTGAGGAGGGAGACCTGCTCCTCCCTGCTCGCTTTCTCCTAGAAACACACAAATGTCGATGTTGCTGTTGCATCAGGAACATTTGTCCTTGCCAGGCCAGTTGTTTCACTAGCTGTTTTGCTTCTCATAAGTGCCATCATCTGCTGCTGGGCTGGAGGGTAGAAGCAAGTGACCCGTCGTCGTCAGCCTCGCCTGCTGCTCTGCCACTTCATTTGTTTTAGACTTTCGTCAAATTCTCGCAGTTCGCAGCCACCTGCATCGTTTCGGCCCTATCGCAGCTTTATTACGTCCATCCGTCACTCGCTTTTCCCTTATCGATCCTCCTCAACCCGCCATTTCGCCGCCGAAATTCATATCCTCACGCAAGAGATCCTGTCAAAATCGCCGAAACGATTGACGCAGCGTCTTTCATCCACCATCGCACCCCGTCATTCCCTTCCTCCTTTTCAGGAACCATTATCGCTCTCAACTCGCCTCCACGACCTCCGTCTTAGACCACTTTGAAGAGCAGTAAGGTTAGACGCGGTCGAAAGCGGTGAACAAAGCAGCTGGGGGTTTCAGCGCAGCAGCAGAGTTACCTTTTGTTCAGCTCATGCCCTATTAGCGTGTTTGTAGGAGGATATTAGTATTGACCCGCGTGAAGCGTCTGCGATTCCTGGTTGCCATTCGAGCGTCTCTCATCGTTGCCTGAGAAGGATTTGTTGCGAACGTCAAGCGTCAAGCGTCTGTCATTGTTGGCTGATCCTTCGAACGTCTGATAGCAGACAGCGTTGGTTGCGTCTTCAAGCGTCTCTCATCATGTGGAGATTCTGCCTCTCCCGGCTCCCGCCTGGTACAAGGCGTCTCGCACAATTCGGTCGCTCAACACGTGTCGCCACGTCGTCCCTTTATCACCACGCGTCACGCCACGACGACGCATCCACTGCGTCTTCCACGTCAGCAGCGCATCATGACGCCTCTTCACATCTGCAAAGTTCACAGCCGCCCTATGCCTCCCTTCAGCAGCTGCCGCTGCAGCCTCGCCAGCCTTATTCTCGTCAGCCGCCTTTTCAGCCACACCAGCGGCGGTGGTTGTCGGACTCGGCTGGTCAACTCGAGATTCCTAAAGAGAAGGTAAGAATAAGTTAGTCTCACATACATCCTGGAGTCTTAGTTGGTCTAGTACAGGGTTGCGCCATCTCCCACTATTTCTGACGACAAGCTCAGTGCCTCCTCCCTCCTCACTGCAGCTCTTCTCCAAGGTGCTGGTGGCGAACAGGGGGGAGATAGCATGCCGAGTGATGAAGACGGCGCGGGCACTGGGCATTCGCAGTGTGGCCATCTATTCTGAGCCGGACGTGGAGAGCCTGCACGTCCGCATGGCGGATGAAGCCGTCTGTGTGGTGAGTGAGTGAGCCCTGCATGCCTGCTGTCTGTGTGGCGAGCCCTGCCTGCCTGCCTGTGTGTTTGAGGTGCCTTGAAAGGCATTCGCAGTGTGGCCATCTATTCTGAGCCGGACGTGGAGAGCCTGCACGTCCGCATGGCGGATGAAGCCGTCTGTGTGGTGAGTGAGTGAGCCCTGCTTGCCTGCCTGCCTGCAGCTGCGTTTGACTCGTTTTTTTTTTTTTGGATAAGGGGGGGAGGGGGTCTTTTTTGTTTCTGCTTTCGCTGAAGAATCAGGTCAGCTGCGTATGGCCTTTTTTCCAGTGCTGCTGCCCCACTTGCTGTCGTTGCTTCCGTTGCGGCTTCTTCGCCTACTCAATTTCATCCGCTGTGGTTCCTTTTCGCTGTGATTCTTTGTGCTTCTGTCATGCTCTCATGTCTCCCCCGCCTCCCTCACCACCCCCCCCTCCCTCCCCTTCCCCCCCCCCCCCCCCTCTCTCCCCCACCCACTCCCCTCTCTCCATGCCAGGGCCCAGCACCAACAGCGCAGAGCTATCTGAACATGGATGCTGTGCTGGACGCGATTAGAAGCACAGGGGCTGACGCGGTGAGTGTCCCAAGCATGTATGTGTACCCGTTCTGAACTGACTGCACGTAGGACAGACTGACATGATAGTGCAGAGCTATCTGAACACGGATGCTGTGCTGGACGCGATTAGGAGCACAGGGGCTGAAACGAGGGGTCAGAGGAGGAGAAGCTGATATGCACATGGATGCTGTCCTGGATGCCGTTCATAACAAGAGCTCGATGTGGTGAGTGCTGCATGCATGCATGTAATCCTTCTAATCTGATTGAGCATCTTCGTGGAGCATTTGGGAGGAGGAGGAGGTATCTCTGCCCATCCCTCTCACTAGCTCCATTGCTCGTCCTGCACATCCTTGCTTCCGGTCTTTTTATTCCCTTTCACCCTCCCCAGGTGCACCGTGCGCCCCAGTAAGCCGTTCCTGCCAGAGAACGGCATGTTTGTGGAGCTGTAGGAGGATGAACCCTTGCATGTCATGTGCTGTTGCATAACGCAATGGTCTTTCTCTCCTCTTCCACCCTCCCCAGGTGCACCCCGGATACGGGTTCCTGTCAGAGAATGCCCTGTTTGTGGAGCGGCTGGATGAGGAGGGCGTGACGTTCGTGGGGCCCAACTTGAACGCCATTGACGCCATGGGGGACAAGGTGGGTGTGGGTGAGGGCACGGGGGATAAGGTGAGTGGGATGGCTGACTGCTTTTGAGGCATCTCAAGAACGCTAGATGAGGAGGGCGTGACGTTCGTGGGGCCCAACCCGAACGCCATTGACGCCATGGGGGATAAGGTGGGGTGCCTCTGACAGTGCTAGACTTGGTGGAAAGGTATTGACATGCCCGCAATGACACCTTATCGTTCCGGCAGAAATATTGAAACCCAGTTTTGAGAATCATCTAGAATGGCCCGAGTGAGGAGCATCTGCTTTTAGCAGCTTGCTTGATTGCTGTCGGAGCCGTGGAGGGCGGGCTGCCATTTGATCTTCGCAGGCAGGGGGGACTGCAATCTCCTGAAGCAGTCATGGTCGATTTGAGAAACAATGAACGTGTGACTGGTTCTACTGGAAGGGCTTCCAGAAAGTGTAACATATGATCCCCCCTCCTGCCCAGCCTTCCACCCGACTTTCTGTACGCCCTCATCCAGTCAGTTCCCTTCATCTGGGTCTTCCGCCTCTCTCTGGTCCTCCTCCCCCGGCTGCTGTCCCGTCCAGATTCACAGCAAGCGGTTGGCGAAAGAGGCCAAGGTGAACACCATTCCAGGGAAGGAGGACGTTATCAGGGACGAGGACCATGCGGTTGAGATCGGTAAGAACTTCAATAATTATTACCCAATGGAGGAGGACCACGCTGGTGCCATGTTTCATTTGTAAGAACCATGTTTCATCTTTCTCTGTATCAACCAAGGCACCATTGTGAAGTTTATCCAAGGAAATTGCTTGGGCTATATACTGTTCTACAATTGTACATTCGTGCTCAATGTTTTAGCTCCTCAAAACACCAATTCTTCCATGCTGCCATCCCCCTGCCCTGCCGTATCCCTCTCACCCTGCCCCCCGTCCCCCCCCCACCCCTGCTGCCTGCCACCACCCGTTCCCCAAATCCTCTTTTCGTCTCTCTCTCCCTCAGCGCAAGAGGTGGGCTTCCCAGTCATGCTCAAGGCGTCTGGCGGTGGAGGAGGCAAGGGCATGCGTGTTGCATGGTGAGTTTTCTTTTTTGAGGCGCCTCAAAAGTCCTCTTTTCGTCTCTCTCTCCCTCAGCGCAAGAGGTGGGCTTCCCAGTCATGCTCAAGGCGTCTGGTGGTGGAGGAGGCAAGGGCATGCGGGTGGCATGGTGAGGAGTGTGAGGGGTGTACCGTGTAGGTGCCATGATGACGGGTGCGGTGACGGGACCCCACGTAATCGTACGTTACGCGTCAACGTAAACGTACGTACACATACGCGTAAAAGCGCGTAACATCTTGCCGGGCAGGAAGGAAAAGAAAAGTCAAGCAAAAAAGGTCTGTCCACGCGTTTTGTTGCCCACGGACTGGTTTATTATGCTAAGGCTCTTTAGAACCTACATGAATGGGCGTGATTCGAACACGTTTTGTTGGAAATTCAGACTGACAAGGTGAGAGGAAAGAATGAGCTGGTTCTTAAAATCATATCCTGTGAAACCTTGAGAGTTTTTGTTAATTTCATTGTCACACCACGGAGAAAACTTGTAATCAAGTGAAGAACCATGTAAACTGGGTATTGGTTTGGACAGCAATGGGCATAGTAAGGGATGCGGGTGAGTTTATCAGGCGAATTACACAATTCTTGACTTAAGGTTTTCCCTCTGTCCCCATCCCCTCGCTTGCTCTGAGTGCAGGAATGAGAAGGAGGTGCGGGAGCAGTTCAGCGTGTGCAAGGCAGAGGTGGCTTCCAGCTTTGCTGATGACCGCATCTTCGTGGAAAGGTCTGTCCGCATCTCGGTAGCTTCTGAGTTGACTCAAAAGCCACCTCTCAGTGGAGAGGTCTGTGTGCAAGGCAGAGGTGGCTTCCAGCTTTGCTGACGACCGCATCTTCGTCAAAAGGTCTGCCTGTCCGCATCTTAGGCGTGGACGGTTTTGAGATTCTCAAAACCGTCCGCATCTTAGGCGTGAACTGTTTTAGTGCCCTGAACGATACTCTTGTGCTGAATAGTTCTTGTCAGTATGCATGCAGGTGTCTGTGGAACAAGATCTCGTGAGGATTTTGTCATTAATGAAGTACAATAATTCTCATCGTTGTGAATATCGAGTCAGTTGAACCTCACATCCGGTTAAACCACTAAGTGCCTCTCTTGCTCTGTTCCTTTCCTGCTGCTGCAACTGGCTTGAGCAGGTTCATAGACAAGCCAAGGCACATCGAAGTGCAGGTCATGGGGGATAAGCATGGCAATGTGGTGCGTACCAATCCTGACTCCCCTCCTCCTCCTGCCCCACCCGTTCACTGGCATGCTAGATTAAGCATAGCAGATTGTCGCTACTCCTCCCACACTGCTCCACTCACTATGACTGGTCCTCGCGTTCGCATGTGAAGTGGCAGGGCTCCAACGTGTTTGGGCTTTGATTCTAACCTGGATGCTGTCTCTATGAGCAATACACTCCACGCCCCTGTGCTTGTGTTGTCTTGTGTTGTGGTGGGGTGGGGTATGGTGTGTGTGGTATGGTGTGGTGTGGTATGGTGTGGTGTGGTGTGGTGTGGTGTGGTGTGGTGTTGTGTGGTGTGGTGTGGTGTGGTGTGGTGTGGTGTGGTGTGGTGTGGTGTGGTGTGGTGGTGTACCTTGTTGATTGTCCAGGTGTGGCTACCAGAGAGAGAATGCTCCATCCAGAGGCGAAACCAAAAGGTGACACACAACCAAACTTCAAACCAAGCGCTTAGCACAGCACGTTCTTCATCATACCCCTCCGCCGCTTCTCCCCAACTCCATCCCTCACATACATTGTCACCTCTCACAGCGTCCAACCTGCATATGCTAGACAGCTCGCGCTTTCCCTTCTAGCGCAACCCCTCCGTCCATTCCTCCCACCTCTCAATCGCCAGGTGATAGAGGAGTCGCCCAGCACGTTTCTGGACGAGGCAACGAGGGAGGCCATGGGCGAGCAGGCTGTGTCGCTGGCCAAGGCTGTCAACTACGACTCCGCTGGTATGTGCGTCGTTGGGGGGAAGGGAGGGAGAGGGGGGGGGGGGGGGGAGGGGGAGAGGGGGAGAGGACAAGGAGGGGAAGGGGAAGTCGCTGAGTTGATTAGGTTACAGGCTGTGTCGCTGGCCAAGGCAGTGAACTACGACTCTGCTGGTATGTGTGGAAATGGAAAGGGGGGGTGGGGGGGGAAAAGACGGGCAAGGGGAGAGGCGTTAAACTTGGTGTTGCATGTGGTGTCTCTGGCCAAAGCAGTCAGCTACGACTGTGCTGCTGGTATGTGTAGAACTTCTTTCTCGAGATGAAAACCACCCCACACCACACACACCGTGCCCACGTACCCTCCCTCTGCTCCCCTCTCTTGTTTTGAGGCGCCTCAAAACTACATGTGCCCTTACCCTCCCTCTGCTCCCCTCTCTTGTTTTGAGGCGCCTCAAAACTACACGTGCCCTTACCCTCCCTCTGCTCCCCTCTCTTGTTTTGAGGCACCTCAAAACTACATGTGCCCTTACCCTCCCTCTGCTCCCCTCTCTTGTTTTGAGGCGCCTCAAAACTACACGTGCCCTTACCCTCCCTCTGCTCCCCTCTCTTGCCGCCCCTCTCCCCGCCTCCCTCCAGGCACGGTAGAATTCCTAGTAGACGCCCAGCGCAACTTCTTCTTTCTGGAGATGAACTCGCACCTGCAGGTGGAGCATCCTAACCGTTCCTCCTCTCCCCTCTGCTCCCCTTCCTCTACCGCCCTCCCTCCAGGCACTGTTGAGTTCCTAGTGGACGCCCAGAGGAATTTCTTCTTTCTGGAGATGAACACGCGCCTGCAGGTGGAGCATCCGGTCACAGAGTGCGTCACGGGTCTCGACCTCGTGCACCTCATGTTCCACTCCGCTGCCGGCCATACGCTGCCCATAGACCAGAAGAGGGCAAGGAAGATCCACGGGTGGGCGTTGGAGTCTCGGGTTTACTGCGAGCATCCCTTCATGAACTTCCTCCCGTGAGTCACCTGTCACAACAAGGCTAATTGTCATCTTAACACCAACCCTAAGCCTCCATGATGGTAGTCTGGACGCCCAGTGGAGTGCTTCTCACAACACTGCATCACTTTCGCTCCTTCCTCCCTTCCCCCTTGACTTTCTTTTCTCTCATCCTCTCCTCTCCTCCCTCTCCTACCAACCATCTCGACAGGCAAGCTCCTCACATACCGCGAGCCCAAGGAGGTGCGCAACTTTCCTCTTCGCCTCTCCGCGCCTCACCTCTCCTCCCCTCCCCTCTCCTCCCCTCCCCTCTCCTCCCCTCCCCTCGCCTCTCCTCTCCTCTCTTCGCCTCTCCTCTCCTCTCCTCTCTCTCCTCTCCTCTCCTCTCCTCGCCTCTCCTCTCCTCTCCTCTCCTCTCCTCTCCTCTCCTCTCCTCTCCTCTCCTCTCCTCGCCTCTCCTCTCCTTTCCTCTCCTCTCCTCTCCTCTCCTCTCCTTTCCTCTCCTCTCCACACACCCCCCACCAGCTCCACAGGCAAGCTGCGCAGGTATCGCGAGCCCAAGGAGGTGCGGACGCCGACTGAGATCGTGCGGCTGGACACGGGGGCGGTGGAGGGGCAGTACATCTCCATGTACTATGACCCACTGCTCTCTAAGGTGTGTGCAGTACGGCTCACTCACTGTGGCGATAGGGTATTTGATTTGACTTGTCAGTCGACATGACACAGTCTGTGTGCGGCTGGACACAGGCGCAGTGGAGGGGCAGTACATCTCCATGTACTATGACCCCCTGTTGTCTAAGGTATGTGACCTGTCAGTCGACTGAAATGGTGTGCGGCTGGACACAGGGGCGGTGGAGGGGCAGTACATCTCCATGTACTATGACCCCCTGTTGTCTAAGGTATGTGACCTGTCAGTCGACTGAAATGGTGTGCGGCTGGACACAGGGGCAGTGGAGGGGCAGTACATCTCCATGTACTATGACCCACTGCTCTCTGAGGTGTGTCGCCACGTGCCATGCTCGCGGTATCCACAACCACGAGTTGCACGTAGCGACACACTTTGGAGAGAAGGGGGTCATAGTAGATGAAGGAATCTGCCATGTGTTCGCATCTCATCAGTCACATTCACACTTCCTTTTCCTTCCCTTGCTGTCAACATGCTTTCTCTTTCCCACTTTCAATGTGGTTCGCGTTTTTTCCTTTTTTTTTTACAATCCCTGCTGTCAAACCTCTGTCCCACTTGTGAGTAACTTAGTTCTTCCTCACACTTGTGAGAATATGCCCATCCACCACTTCCCCTGCCCCCCCCCATCCCTCCCTACCAGCTAATCACGTGGGGACCAACGAGAAAGGACGCCCTCGAGTCCATGAAGGTACAGTTCCGAAATTGTAACCATATTCCGAGTTGTCTCAGAAATATGCCTAGAATAAACTCGCTTACGTTCAAAATAAAAAAAATCCGGTTACCGTAAAATATGGCCCTTCTTTTTACGGTCGTATTTTACGGACATTTTAGCAAAAGTACTGCCGTATTTGTTTTTGAGAGTACTTAAAGCAACATGTTTGCCAAAAACTGCTAACAAACAGGCCTAGAATGGTGTATAATACTAGACACACATCTGATTCCTCTTTAGGTCTCGTCTCCCTCCTCCCTCCCTTTGTCTCCCAGCACGCCTTGGATCGTTATTATGTGTGTGGGCCGTTCAACAACATCTCCTTCCTCCGCTGCATCTTCTCACAGCCGGTAATCAGCTCGCACTTTGCCACTCTGCTCGCTTGTTAGAGGGTGTGTGCGTGTTTGGGTTTTCCCACGCTTAGATTGTCAGGCAAATCTCTCTGACAGAGCTGCCATGCAAAGCTTGAGGAGGTTCCATTTTAGCTTTTCTGCTCATGCACGTCTCTGTGTTGAGGTGCCTCGTGCCTTGAAAATGAAATCCGCTCTGCCGTCTTCGCGTTGCCCCTCCATGCTCTCTCCTGCTGCCCCAGGCGTTTGAGTCTGGCGATATCAGCACCAAGTTCCTGGACATCCACTATCCGAATGGTTTCACAGATGACCGACTGACGCCCAGAGAGGAGGTGAGGGTGGGAGGAGACTATAGGCTGAGGACGAGCAAGGTGTTTAATAGGTACTCGATAGAGGTCCGCACCAAGTTCCTGGACATTCACTTCCTGAATGGCAATGACAGGCTGACGCCTAGAGAGGAGGTGAGAAAGGGTGGAAGAGGCCACAGATCATTTTCTCTTTCTGCCCAGAGAGAAGGTGAGAATGGGAAGAGGAAATCAGATTCGGTGAGTGGGAAGAGTTGAGAGCCATACACGGAAAGAAGTGACGGCCATAGCAGCCTTTCGTGACAAATTATATTCCGGAGGTCTCTGTAAGCTGTCAACCATCCTCAGCCTCCTTTCTCCTTCTCATCATCGCCATCCTCCACTCATCTTCACTCCTCAACCACCACACACGGAAAAGAAGTGGCAGCCATTTCAGCCTTCCTCGAGATTGTCAAGGTCGCTGCTAGCTATTAACCAACCTCAGTCTCCCTTCTCCTTCTCATCATCGCCATCCTCCACTCATCTCCACTCCTCAACCACCACACACGGAAAAGAAGTGGCAGCCATTTCAGCCTTCCTCGAGATTGTCAAGGTCGCTGCTAGCTATTAACCAACCTCAGTCTCCCTTCTCCTTCTCATCATCGCCATCCTCCACTCATCTCCACTCCTCACCCACCACACACAGAAAGAAGTGGCAGCCATTTCAGCCTTCCTCGAGATTGTCAAGGTCGCTGCTAGCTATTAACCAACCTCAGTCTCCCTTCTCCTTCTCATCATCGCCATCCTCCACTCATCTCCACTCCTCACCCACCACACACAGAAAGAAGTGGCAGCCATTTCAGCCTTCCTCGAGATTGTCAAGGTCGCTGCTAGCTATTAACCAACCTCAGTCTCCCTTCTCCTTCTCATCATCGCCATCCTCCACTCATCTCCACTCCTCACCCACCACACACAGAAAGAAGTGGCAGCCATTTCAGCCTTCCTCGAGATTGTCAAGGTCACTGCTAGCTATCAACCAACCTCGGTCTCCCTTCTCCTTCTCATCCTCCCCGTCCTGCAGTCATCTCTCCTCATCCCCCGTTCCTCACAGAAAGAGGTTGCAGCCATTGCTGCCTTTCTTGAAATAGTCAAGTCCCGGAGGCCGCTGCTAGCTGTCAACCATCTTCGCTCCTTCCCATTCTCCCGTCCTGTCCCCCTCACCCACCACACACAGAAAGAAGTGGCAGCCATTGCAGCCTTCCTCGAAATTGTCAAATCCCGGAGGTCGCTGCTAGCTGTCAACCATCCTCAGTCTCCCTTCTCCTTTTCATCTCACCCGCCACACACAGAAAGAGGTTGCAGCCATTGCTGCCTTTCTTGAAATAGTCAAGTCCCGGAGATCTCTGCTAGCTGTCAACGCTGCCGCCCCCGGCACGCCCGGCGCAATAGGAAACGGACACCTGGCGCACGCCGGTTGGGTGGAGGAGGAGGGAGAGGGGGGAGGCGAGGAGGGGGAGGAGGATGGGGGGGAGGGGCTGAGGGGGAAGGCGGAGCTGGTGGTGAGTTCGGATGGGGTGGAGCATGCTGTGGTGGTGCGGCACTGGAGCAATGAGAAGAAGCCACACCTCTGTGTTGCGGTGAGTGGCTGTCATGTATTTCCCACTGAATGTTCTGATACTTGGGGTTGGGGGGGGGTTGAGCGGGAAGGCGGAGCTGGTGGTGAGTTCGGATGGGGTGGAGCATGCTGTGGTGGTGCGGCACTGGAGCAATGAGAAGAAGCCACACCTCTGTGTTGCGGTGAGTGGCTGTCATGTATTTCCCACTGAATGTTCTGATACTTGGGGTTGGGGGGGGTTTGAGCGGGAAGGCGGAGCTGGTGGTGAGTTCCGATGGGGAGGAGCATGATGTGGTGGTGCGGCATTGGAGCAATGAGAAGAAGCCGCACCTCTGTGTTGCGGTGAGTGTTCATAAAGTGCTGTGGTTTCTCAACCGCCCCATGTCGCATGTTCATAAAGTGCGGTGAGTCCCCTTATCCCCACCTCCCTATATCCTTTGTCTGCTCCCCGTATCCCCACGCCCTATGTGATGAGACGTTTTTTTTGTCGACTAAAACATTTCCTCGCGTGTCCTTACCTCCATGTTGCTGTATTCTCTGTCGGCTCCCCGCATCCTTTTCCCCTCCCTGCACCCCCCGTATCCCTCGCTTTCCGGCAGGATGTTTTTGAGAATTCTGAAAATTTCCCCGCATCCCTTTTCCCCTCCCTGCGCCCCCTGTATCCCTTGCTTCCCGGCAGGATATCGAGGTGGGGGGGGAGGTGATCCGGGTGGAGGAGGCGGTGCCAGCAGGGTTGGGGCGGGGGGTGGTGGATATCCGAGTGGATGGGGAGGACACCGTGTGCATGGTCATGGAGAAACACGCAAGAGGGTTCAAGCTTGTGTATGACGGCTGCACCAAGGTATGCTCTCTTCTGAGGCACCTCGCAAGCAGTGCGGCTGGGGCTGGGGGGCTGGGGCTGGGGCTGGGGGGCTGGGGCTGGGGCTGGGGCTGGGGCTGGGGCTGGGGCGGGGGGTGGTGGATATCGGAGTGGACGCGGAGGACACCGTGTGCATGGTACAATGCGAGAGGGTTCAAGCTCGTGTATGACGGCTGCACCAAGGTACAATGTTCCTCTGGGTAAGAATGGCTGTCTCCAGGCAATTTGCTTTTTGAATGGTCCAACACACCGCGTGTATGGTCGTGGAGAAGCACGCCAGATGATTCAAGCTGGTATACGATGGCCGCACCAGGTATGCTGATTTGGGTAACACTTTCCATGTTTGCCGTGGTTTGATTGAGATTTCCAACCTTGAGTCTGGCTGAACGTGTGCCAGATTTACAGCCAGATGTTCATTCTGGAACAGAAAGAGGTGCTGGTGCATCAGATGAAGGTTGCCCCTTCTTGCGTCTCTTTCTGAAGTGGCGAAAAGATAAAATCCTCTCTCATTCTCGGCGATTGATCTCTTTCCCCTCTCTCCACACGCGGCGCCCACTACAGGACGAAGTGCTGGTGCATCAAAAGAAGGTGGCTCCTCTACAGAAGTACATGCCACCCAAGAAGGTTCAAGATGTCTCCAAGGTGCGATGTCCAATCTTGCATCTTTTCTAGGTGTTATATTTACATCCTTCTCCATATCCTTGCTGGCATATCTGATACACATATCCCTCGAGTCCGACACATTTTCCTCGAGTCCGTCTGTATACATTTCTCTCCTTCTGTTTGTGCAGATGGTCAAGGCTCCTATGCCTGGTGCAGTGGTCGCAATCGGTGTCAAGCCAAACAAGAAGGTGAGGGAAACTGTTCTGTCATCAAGACATTGGACGTGCAAGCTATGCAGCTGGGAATCACCTGCATGCTCTAGTAGTCTCTAAACATCACTCAGCGACCATTTTCGCTCAACTTTGTCTTTAACTCGTATGTTTCCTCGTCCAACAGGTGCTTCCTGGTGATGAGCTGATAACGATCGAAGCCATGAAGATGCGCAACGTGCTGCGTGCTGAGGAGGCAGCCACTGTAAAGGCTGTATATGTGAAGGTCGGGGCCTCTGTGTCGCTGGGCGAGACCATGATCGAGTTTGAGTAAATTCTGCTCCCTTGGGAACAGGTGGTGGTGATACATTATCAATCCGCCAATATATAAAGTAAAACAATCCCAAGAATGAGCCACTTCCAGGAGAAGATGAGGCATTTGTTGCAAAATTACCATGATTCAATCAATTTTGACGAAGTGAACAAACGACTGGGCAGTCATTGCAATTACAATATATATATATATATATATGGATTGGGCTGTCTAGCATTTGAATGTAAATTTCACTTTATTAATATAGTTCTTTTGACGTGTAGATTGTTATCTGAGTTGAGTGCATGCGGTGGCATACCAACGCTCACGAGAAGATCGAGGTTCTCAATTCCAGCTTCATTCTCCCACCACTACTCTAGTTCCTCTTAGCTAAAAGCGTTGTTTTATCAGTCAACCAGGTACCCGATCGCACACCTCCCCCCCGTACATCCAGTTTCCCCCGCTCAACATGAATCACCCCGCCGCAAGCCTTCCTCGACTCCCCCCCTTCCGAACCATCTTCCCCCATCTGTCCGCTTTCACGTCTCCGCGTTACCTCCCTAAGTTCAGCACTTGCTGATTCTATTGCTCTCTTGCCAGGGAGCAGATCAGGTACCCTAGGAGCTTATCAGTCCTCAGGCCCCCTGCAGCACCCGATTCGCCATTCAGAACCTCGGTCTTCGCGACTCGAGCCTCTGACATCCGCAGCCATGGCGTCCCGTTTCTGGATGCAGGTGCGATTTTAGGTGGATAGTAGATGCGCGCGTACTGGCTGTGGATGAAATTTCCTGGTTGCTCACAGTTTTAGGCACGCTGATCGGTAGATGGTGGATGCATGGCTGATCAAATTCTTTTGACTTATCAGTGAGACTAAGACTGGCCAAGTTCGGGAGAATGAGGTTGTTGCAGACGATTAGTTGCGCATCGTCCGATCAACCACGACATACGTCTAAACCGTCCGATAAACTCGGTAGTTCCACGTGTAGATCGATCGCGTGGTGGTATGCCGTTTGAGCCTGAAAACTACATGGAGATTGACGGAGGATTTTGCGTAGTCGTCTGGACCTGAAAATAAATGGACCGAAATTCGATATTATACCTAATCATCCAGAAGCGGATGTGTTGGTCCGTCTAGAATCAATCGGCTTGACAGCGAGTCGGATGAACTTTACACGTTTAGCGTAACGTGAACCCTAATTTTCCATTTCATGTTTCGCAATTTTCTACTGACCTTCCCCGCACGCGTTCGATCAATCAATCGGAGGAGGAGGATGAGACTGTTAAGTTTAGTAGTGAGACGTTTGGTGGAGGGGGGCGTCGTACACGAGTAGTCATTGGATAGGAGAAGAAGTCATAGGAGGGTCGAGGATGAGCGGAGGATGAGTCGGGGGAGTAGGGGAAGGAGGAGAAAGAATAGGATAAGTTAGTCATTGACATGTTGAGTCATTTTCCCACCACATCCCCTTGCAGTCTGACAGCGAGTCCGAGGAAGAGGAGAATGAAGTTGAAGAGGAGCAGTCGGAGGGAACGGGAGGAGAATCCTGTTTCTGAAACCCTAACTTTTTATGTTTTCATTCCCACCAACTCTCTCTGCAGTCTGACAGCGAGTCCGAGGAGGAGGAGGAAGAAGTCGAAGAGGAAGAGTCGGAGGAGGAAGAAGACGAGGCCCCCAAGGCCGCCGGCGATGCCGGGCGAGCGTCGATCTACCTGCGACAGGGCGACAGCGACAGCGAGGACAGCGACGACGGTCGCGCGCGCGTCGTTCGGCCGGCCCGCGAGAAGCGGTACGACGAGATGGTGTCGACGGTGGAGCAGATTAAGAACCAGATGAAGATTAACGACTGGGTCGCTCTGCAGGTACGGATTTTTCAACATATAGAATGGATTTTCCGTGCCCGATGTTGCTGGAATACCAAAGTGGCGTGCAGTTGTAAATCTCTGGCACAGCTCTGGGATCTAGGGTTTCACCAACTGTTCCAGGGCGCTGTGCTTCGGAAGACAGCTACTCAACCTTCCTCTGGTCCTTGTTGTTCCTCGCCTATTCCTCTTCCACTCTACTTTATTGCACTGTTTGCAGGAGAGCTTTGAGAAGCTGAACAAGCAGCTTGAGAAGGTGCTGCGCCTGATCGAATCCTCCGTGCCCCCGCGGCCGTACATTAAGGGTGTCGTGCTGCTGGAAGACCACCTGAACGCCGCTTTAACGAACAAAGAGGCGAAGAAAAAGATGAGCAGCAGCAACGCCAAGGCTCTGAATTACATGAAGCAAAAGCTGAAGAAGAATAATAAGCTGTACGAGGCCGTTATTGAGAAGTTCCGGGCGAGTCCTGAGTCGGAAGAGGAGGAGGACGACGACGAGGAGGAAGAGGAGGATGAGGACGAGGAGGAGGATGAGGAGGGGGTGGAAGATCCATTGGATAGAAAGGGAGGGGATGAGGAGGAGGAGGGAGGGGAAGGGTGGGAGACGCAGAAGAGCAAGAAGGACCGGGCGATGGAGAAGCAGTTTCAGAGGGATCATAGCGAGATTAAGTGGGAGGAGGTGAATCAGAAGCTTAAGGAGATTATTGCGGCTAGGGGTCGCAAGGGGACGGATAGGGTGGAGCAGGTGGAGCAGCTGACTTACCTGGCTAAAGTCGCAAAAACCCCGGCGCAGAAACTGGAGGTCATGATGCAGGTGGTGTCCGCGCAGTTCGACGTTTCGCAGAATCTTCACCTGCATCTGCCCGTCCCCGTTTGGAGGAAATGCGCGGAGAATATAATGACGATTCTCGACATTCTCGAGGGAAACCACAACATTGTCCTGGACGAGAATTACGAGGTGGTGGAGGACGATAACGAGACGCAGAAAGGCGCGGATTTCGAGGGGAAGATCCGGGTGTGGGGATCGGTGGTGTCGTTTGTAGAGCGTATGGATGATGAGCTGTTTAAGAGCCTGCAATGCACGGATCCGTACACTAAGACGTACTTAGAGCGGCTTAAGGACGAGCCCACGCTGCTCGCGCTGGCTCAGAACGCGCAAGCGTACGCGCTGCGCGTGGGCGACACCAAGGGCGCGTCGCGTGCGGCTCGTCGCCTGTGCGAGCACATCTACTACAAGCCTCAGGTTAGTCTTCTAACGGTAGCTTTCTAACGGGTTAACCTTCTCTTGGAGTAGCTTTCTGTCCGCTTTTGTGGCGTCACAAAGCGAGTCCCTGGTCGGTTATGTTCTCCACATGTCTCCGGTAACCCATGCCCTCTCATCTCTCCCTTCCTCTCTCCCTCGTTCTTCTTACTCGCCCACCAACCCCGCTGTCGGCGCCCTCCCCCCCTCCCCAACTTCGTGCTTTATGTTTTTGCATCTGAATTGTTTCTCTTAATTTACGGTTTCGTTGTCCTTTTTGGTTGCATAGTTCTTCCTTCTGTTTTTGTTTTCGCGCCACTCCCCTCCCGGCCCCCCCTTTCCCCTCCCTCATCCCCTCGTCCCTGCACTGTCTCGCGCTTTTTTCGAGCTCTCGTTTTGCCCCTCCTTCCCTCGTTCTTCCTCTCCCTCCGCTTTCATCATTCCCCCTCTTTCCCCTCTTCGTGTCCATATCTGCATGCCATCGCTCCCCATCGCTCCCCGTGCACCCCCTCGCTCCCCCTCGCTCGCCATGCACCCTCTCGCTCCCCCTCGCTCGCCATGCACCCAATCGCGTCCCCACAGAACGTGTACGCAGCTCTGCGCCTGATGTCGGAGCAGCAGCAGCAGGCAGCGGCGGCCGCCGCCGCCGCCGCCGAAACCCCCGCGGACGCCGCCGCCGCCGGCGACGAGGACGCGTCGCCAGATGACGAGCCCGAGTCCGCCGCCGCGAAAGACGCCAAGCGCCGCGCCGCGATCGCGGTGAACTCGTACGGGCCGCCCGCGTTTATCCCGACGCCAGAAGCGGTTCCGCGGTGGCCGGTTTTCCCGGAGAGCGGGCGCGCGATGATGAAGGCGCTGCTGGCGGTGGTGTACGCGCACGGGGAGGAGCGCAGCAAGGCGCGCGCGATGCTGTGCGACATCTACCACCACGCGATCAACGACGAGTACCACACGGCGCGCGACCTCATGCTCATCTCCCACCTCCAGGTAGGGGTTTAGGCGGGCGTCTGAGTGTTGTTGCAAGAGGAGGTTGAGGGTTTAGAGGGGCGTTCTACATTTGCGCTCAAGCTTTCGAATCCTGGAAACAAATGAAGGGAAATAAGTATTTGAGGGCGTTTTTAGGGTTGCGGTTGAGAAATCTCAAAACCACGCAATGTAAGATGACTGCCATATGGGGTTGTCTCGAGTATATATCTCACCTCCAGACAGGGTTTAAGAGGGGGTTGGATAGGGGAAGCGGATTTGAGGACATCAGCACGCAGATCCTCTTCAACCGTGCCATGGCACCTTCTGAGAGGCCTCATATCGTGCACTACCCCATACCTTCCCCCTTCAACCTGCCCCGTCCTCCCCCCTTCCCTTCAACAGGACGCGGTGCAGCAGATGGACATCAGCACGCAGATCCTCTTCAACCGCGCCATGGCCCCTTGTGAGGCGGTTCAACCCTTCCCCTCGCCCTTCCCCTCCCTACCCACACGCCTTCCCCCACCCCACCCGCCCCTATTCCCCCTTCCCGCTCCCTCCAACAGGACGCGGTGCAGCAGATGGACATCAGCACGCAGATCCTCTTCAACCGCGCCATGGCGCAGCTCGGTCTTGCCGCCTTCCGCAGGGGGCTCATCCCCGACGCCCACAGCTGCCTCGCCGACCTCTTCGCTGGCGGCCGCGTGAAGGAGCTGCTCGCACAGGGGGTCTCCCAGTCGCGGTTCCATGAAAAGACCCCCGAGCAGGAGCGCGTGGAGCGGCGCCGGCAGATGCCGTACCACATGCATGTGAATCTGGAGCTGCTGGAGGCCGTGCATCTGCTGTGCGCCATGCTGCTGGAGGTGCCTTCGCTGGCCGCGCACTCGACTGACGGGCGCAGGAGGGTGATCTCAAAGAATTTCCGCCGGTTGCTCGATATGTACGAGCGCCAGACGTTCAC